AGTCATGTTATATCAAGTTTATAATACGTATATAGATGCATAATCAAGCGTTAGATCATCCTAGAATTAATTAGGATTGTTCTTACACGAATCGGAGGCGAAATGGACAAGTTACAGAGGCCGGAAGCTACTATCGCGAGGAAGAAGATGACCCAGGCTTAACCGAGCCGACTCAATTGTAATTGAGCCGACTCGGTTGGGGAGAGAGCTGACTTAGTTGGTAACTAAGCCGACTCAATTGCCCTGCTACTTGGTTTCTAGTTTTGGTTGTCCAGTATTGATCCATGGGTGTTTTAATGGAGTTTTAAGGTTTCTATGGACTAAATTAAATACTGGAATGCTAAATGAATTAATAATGGAATTAGTAAATTAATTCATAAATTAATTTAAAGGAAAGTTTGGATGCTTATATGGCTATTCATTTTGGAAGCATGTTTAAACAATTTATTAAATTGTTCTATGATATTTATCATGTGTTGACATGCTGTAATTTGGATTGGAAAGCTTAATGAATTATTTTATATATTTTTGTGCATACTCGTATTGTGCCTATGTTGTTTATTGTATGCTTTTATATGCTTTTAAGTTATGTTTATGGAGTATGGTTGATTTGGAGCATTGATTATTTGCCAAGGTATAAATATATTGTTATTAATTTCGTATGTAGAAAACATACTTCAGGAGGTATGGATTATTTGCCAGAGATATAAATAAATTGTTATTTACTAAGTATCAACAAGAACATACTATTGGAGGCATGGATTAATTGCCAAGATATACTTAGAATGTCAATTGGTTAAGTATAGATAAATATTATACTTGTGTAGGCATGGATGAGTTGTCAAAGCATGAATAAAATGCTATATGAATTAGATGATTAAATAAACATGTATGGTTATGGTTATGTGAATAGGAGGAAATAAAATGTTCCTAGGATTGAGCATAGTATTATTAATGGTTAATTAACCATTTGGATTAATTTTGGAAAAGAGGAGTTCCATGTGATGGGAATAGTTTATGTTAGGGATGGTCATGTGTATATATATATAAATCATTATATATATTTATTAATCCACGGTTTGGGATTATGAAGGTATTAATTATTATTGGTGATGTTATGTATTATTACTTATCACTATATATGAAAGGCTAAAATTAGAATTAGGATATTTATGGTTAGAGATGTATTATTTATCGGTTTTCAGGGGCTTGTTAAAGTGAACTTGTTTGTGGGTTTTGACCCACCTTATTTTATTTTTTAGGTTCGTAAAAGTTCAAGTCTAGAGGTTGAGGATCCGCAGCTTGGATGCTTATTTATCATATACTCTCATTTATTTCAAAGTAGGATGTTGTTAAGTTATTTGACTTTAGTTTTATTTATGGATTTCTGTATAATGTACATTGGTTAAGGGGTCCTTACATTATGGGATTCCCGAGTTGTAACCTTTGGAGAAATTATTATTTAATAGAATTATTATTTTTCTTCATTGTTTTATTTTTTTCTTTATTTATCATCTTTGTATTCAGTGCTTGCTAAATATTAATTATTTTGATATCCCCTGGTTTTACGAGTGTGGACTTGATCAACCCATATCTCTGAAATTAGGGGGCATCACAAAAGCCATAAGTACTACAAAGCAAAAAAAAATAATAAAAAAAATAAAGTATTTACTACTAATTTCAACAATAAATCCCAAAATCCTAAATTATGAAAAACTAGTTTGAACAATAAATTATGAAAAAAAACATATATTATTAACAAACATACTTAATTTTATGATCACTGAGACCATAGCCCTATAAAAAAATCCTAACTTTTATTACAAAATCATTAAACCCTAATATCAATACTCCCAAACAGAGGAAACAACCCACCTCAAATCATACCCACCCAACAATAAGGACCCACATTTAAAAGGAAAGAATATAAAACCCTAAGTACTATAAAGCAATGATAATGGGTGAAAGTTTTGTTATACCTGTCACCATTTTGTCCAAGAAAAGTGACACGAACCACTTGGAATCCACCAAGATCTCCAACCACAAACATAAGGCACACACACAACACTCGCTTTCATCAACACTCAGCGTGCACACACAAACACAGTACAACAATTTAGGGCATAAAATCGTTTTATTACATTATATAACCCACACGACATCGTTTTACATAAAGGGTATACACCCCCACACGACGTCGTTTCACATAGAGGGTATGCACCCCAATACTACATTGTTTCACACGGGGGTATAATTGCCATTTTAAATTCACAATTTTATTTTGATATAATATTAATATACTATCAAGGGCATTCTTGTCATTTCAAAGGCTGTAACGGATAGGGGGCAATGTGATAATTTATGTTAGTTTAGGGAGTTTTTTAATATTTGAGGGGGTTATATGTAGTTTTTGTAAATAACAAGGTGTTTTATGTTTTTAGCCCTAAAATTTTCTTATTTTTTTATTTTTTTATTTTGGCAACACCAACCCACAAGAAAACAAAAGACTAAGTTATGCCATCTGCGACATCCAACTCCAAAAGCTTAAAGATAGACAAAGGCAGAGATTGAAACACCCAATCCGTAGGCATCCCTAGCTGTGAAAGCTTGGCAAGAGCATTTGCCACTTGATTTCCTTGTCGTCGAATATGCGAAATAGAAAACCCCGATAAAGATTACAGCTCTCGTCTTCTCTTAGTAACCAAAGGAACAAGTGAAGCATTCGTAGGAATAACGCCTTCAATAGCCTCCACTCCTTTACAATCCGATTCAAAACTGACCACCTGAAATTGAAATTGTTTGGCCCAAAAAACTGCACGGCTAAAACAAAAAGCCTCCGACTGAAGCATAGATGATGACTCAAAACGCTGAAAATTACCGCTTGAAGAACTGCACCGAAGGAGTCCCTAAACATCGTCCCTCTACCTCCTCGTTGAGCAAGTTTCGAGAAAGATGCGTCAACATTACATTTAACAACGCCATGCATTGGACGAATCCAGCGAGAGGGGGCATTTGATCGCTGCGAAGCATGAAGGAGCAATTGGCATTTCCTTTGTAAAGAAACAAATTCCTAATATCGAGTTGAAGCCAAATTTGCAACCAATACCAGACTCCATTCGAGTTGATCAAAAATTAATTTATTCATAGCCTTCTAGATTGTCCACAAATAAAAAGACACCATCCCCACCATAAAAGTTTTATCCTCCTTAGAAAAAACTGATCCACCCTGAAGACCATTCCACCAATCAAGAAAAGAGGAAGTGGGATTTGCAAGAAAATCCCAACGGAGGGGAGATAACTTCCACACTTGAAGCGAAAAAAAACAACGGAAGAAAATATGATGCAACCCACATTGCAGACAAATCAGATTTGCCAAACAACCTAGACGAGCAAGAGCAAAGCCTATTGGGAGACGCCTGTAGCAACATTTCCAAAGAAAATGCTTAATTTTGGAAGGCAAATAAAGAGACTAAAAGTCACTTCACTGTGTACAAGAAATTAGCTGATTGTCTGCCCTCTGTAAGGCATGATGATTCAAATTTTGAGAGAGCGTTATAGCTAAGTTGTAGGCTGATTTAACACTAAACTTACCTGAAGGTTCCACTTCCTAAATTTGGGTATCCGGAAATGCTCCCTGTCATAAAACAATTTGCAAGATATTATGAAGCTCGGAAGCATCAAACAACTGCCTCAAAACATCCATCCGCCATTCTCTGGAAAGACCATCCAAACTCGAGCTACCATCTAATAAATTAGCAACCCAAACAAAACGATCTGTATACTCTCGAAATCCCAATGGCATGGAAAGACCTGGTATCCATTTATCCTTCCAAATATGAATAGATGACCCATCACCCACCACCCATTGTAATCCTCTCCGAAGCAACTCCTGCAACGACCAAATACTATGGATTTGATCCCAGAGGTGCCTCAAGAAAAGAACAAGAGGGAAAATATTTTGCTTTGAACAATTGAAACGCCACCCTAGTTTTAGAGAATTGGAAATGCCAAGCATGCTTTGCCAACGAAGCCAAATTAACAGCTTCAAGATCTCGAAACCCTAAACCACCCTCCTTCTTACTCCGACAAAGTAAATTCCAGGAAGCCCAGTGTCTTGATTTGAGCTTACCATGCTTCTTCCACCAAAATGTCCGTACCTGTTTCATTAGCTCCAAGCACAACGTACGCGGTAATCTAAAAATAAACATAATATAAGTAGGAAGAGAATTCAACACTGCTTTAATTAGAACCTCCTTACCTCCATCTGAGAGAGTATGTTGTCTCCAAGACGCAAGACGTTCCTTCATTCGATGTAGCAAAAACTGAAAGACATCTAATTTCAAACGACCAATTATCGCCGGCATCCCTAAATATTTATTGTGAAACCCATCCTCGGTCAATCCCAACATATGACTCAACATACGCTGTAAATGCATAAGCGCATTCTTAGAAAAGAAAAGAGCTGATTTTGCAAAATTCACCTTTTGTCCCGACGCCATCTCATATGCATGAAGAATTCTCTTTAAAATTTTTAGTTACAGCTAAAATTTTCTTATAACATCTCTTGTAAATATTAAGTAACTAAGTAAAAGTTTTTAATTATATATAAAAGAGAAGAAAAAAATGTACTGCCCGAAGTGAAAATAAAAAAGAAAAAAGAAAAAGAGAGATTGATCTCTACGAGCGGTCATGAGACAATCAATATAGAGAAAACTACCTAAATTAAAATCAAAAGAGATAATGAGAAGAAGAATATGAGAAGCTTTCAACAAATTATTCAAAATTATTGCTTTGCTAAATTAGTTTTCCTTGGAAATTAAACTCTTTAGATATTAACATGAAACATGTAACACTGCTTGATTTGAATTACCATGACTTAAGTGCATAAGTGAAAATTTTGTAGCTCTACTCTTTTATTTCATCCAAACAAGCCCGGACACAGTTTACGTATGCTGAATGAATACCTTTATAAGACCAACTTTTGATAATATAATACCTTTATAAGAACAACTTTTGATAATATAAGACACCCATTTCTTAGAGCGAGACAATTCACACCAAGTAGACCTCAAACACAATGTCTCGAATTATCAGTGTCATTGTCTCCCTTTTCTGTCTCTACTCCCTCACAACTCCGCCGCCAATCGCCGCCGCAGACGACGACGACGACGGAAAACTCAACGCCTATGACGTCCTCAAATCCTACGACTTCCCGATGGGTCTCCTCCCAAAAGGAATCACGGGCTACGATCTCGACAAATCCACCGAAAAATTCCACGCTTATCTGACCGGTACCTGCAGTTTCTCTCTCGAAGGCTCATACCAGCTCAAATACCAATCCACCATTAGTGGGTACATATCGAAAGACAGGATTACAAACCTCAGTGGCATAAGCGTGAAGGTACTCTTCTTCTGGCTCAACATCGTCGAGGTTGTTCGGAGAGGCGACCAGCTCGAGTTCTCGGTGGGGATCGCTTCTGCGGACTTTGGGATTGAGAATTTCGAAGAGTGTCCGCAGTGTGGGTGTGGATTGGATTGCAACAGCAATGGGCAAGTAAGGAAGATTATAACTAGCTCTTTTGTTTCTTCCATTTAATGTGAAATTGAATGTGTAGTGAGATGCCTTGTTGGGATTTGGATGATGGGTTGTTTATGATTTGGGATTAATCGACATGGGTTTTGATTATTTGTTCCAGTATATGGATTATATGTGTTTTGGATTGATTTGAATTAACATATATGTATGCTTGATATTGTATTTCCTTGACCTTTCAATATATATATATATATACACACACACATATATACTCATTTTCATATGTATTTTACGCAAATCATAGATAGATAGGTCTTGCAGTTTGGCCCCAAAAACAGTTGATTGAGACTGTCATATATTTGGATATTCACTTGATTAGATGTTGATGACGAATGAGATTCTATAATATGTGAGTAAGGTTTTTATAATCTAATGTGGGTAAACTGGTTTACCTATCTTAATAAAATAATTGGTTACCTTACCTGTGTTTAGTTCTCTATTCTTTTGGGTTCAGGGTTCCAATTGTAAATCTATGGAGATTCTTTTGTCTTTTGTGGATAGCTTGAGGCTCTAGTTTTTGTGCAGTTGTTTGGGCTGCCACATCAATGAATAAGTATACAATTATTTATATATGTATTTATTTACTGGTTGAGTAGGAAGTAAAGGATGAAGTGAAGGTGTATTTTATACATGTGAAAAGTAAAAAAATCTAATTTTGTTCCAGCAAAAAAATAGTCAAAAGTGAGGGATCATCCATTTTTTGGGGAGCCCAGTTCCTCCTTTCCCTTCGGTTTACCTTCTCTCAATTCTTCCTCCTACCAAACACACTGTGAAATAAGCTGTTAGTGAATTTAATTTTTATTCACAACATAGCATGGACTTCTTTACATGAGCAAAATTATCAAGTTTCGGGTTAATTATGGTAACTCATGGACTAAATGCAAAAAAGTAGTTAAAAGTCAAGGGATCACTCATTTTTGGGGGATCCCGTTCCTCCATTCTCCTCTGCTTTCCTTCTCTCCATTCTTCCTCCTACCAAACACACTGTAAAAGAAGCAATTAGTGAATTTATTTTTTTCTTCACAAGATAGCACGACCTTCTTTACATGGGCAAAATGATCAAGTTCGGGTCAATTGTGGTAACTTGAGGACCAAGTCCTGAATTATTATATTAGGGCTTAGTATGATGATGATTATTATTATTATTATTATTTTCTTAGTTGGTACTCTCACACACCCACGCCTCCTGAGGCTCAAACCCCTGACCTCCCTTTGGGAAGTAGGAACTTGATACCGCTGGGCCACTAGTCCGTTGGTTATGATGATTATTTTTAGATACATTAGTAAATTTTTGTTTTTGTTGTATGAAGAAGTGAATCATCTAAAAACTTATACCCATAAGTAGATTGCTCTGACTTGCAAACAGGTTTGTGAGGCATCTATATTGAAATCTTTTATGTTTTCTTTAATATTTGTTATCATAGATTCAGTAAAATCATCACAATCTTATTACATAGTGCAAGAAAGAATAAATCAATTTCTATTTTGTTTCAACTTTTTCTGTTCAGTTGAATTAAATAAAGGGATAGTTTTTCAAGGCTATAGAATGAAGTTTATATCATATATGTAATTATATTATTCGTAGAATTAGTATATCATATGTTATAGATGAAGAAAGCAGAATGAGCAGTTAAATAGTTAAAGTATTCATTTTATAGGGTGATCTCATTTCCTTGTGCTTCTACATTGTAGTAGTGGAAGGTCCTTTTTCTTTTTGATCTGAATAGTAGGGGGGATTATTACACTGTGTTCATGTGGATTTTGGCCCTTCTCTGTTGAGTGCACAGAGCTTATATACTTGCCTTTGGTTTGCTGATTTTTGCAATCTCAGAATATAAATTTCTCTGAAAATTTGAACATAAAAAAAATCGTTATTGAATTAGTTTTCTCTAATACAATTTACATGGGTGTTTCTGTTTTTAAACTCTGAATAACTTCTTCTTTCTTTTTCCTAGTTGGACTCTGAATATCTTATGTTAGAATTACTTGTTAAGAAGTAACAGTTGCAGACGAGGCAAACATTGATGTTGGTCTGCATAATGAAAGGAAACAAACGAACAGCAAATTTAGCATTGACTTCGAGAGGCTGACTAGAATGAAAGAGGAGACCCAAAAGTTTATCCTGAAACAATCTGCTTATGATTTAAAAAACACAAGCAAAGCTTCACTTTGTAGGAACTTATGCATTGAGACGTAACCTGAGCTTTTATATCTACAGAAGTCACACCTTTGCTTCTCCCAAAAACAGTATATCCACCTTGCCCTATGAAGGGAAACCGGGCAGGACTTGGAATTTAGTTATTGAAGCTTAAAGCCAGCTGAAAATTAACGAGAAGTTAATAGGAGATCTGAAAATTTTGAGGTAGATGTTGGCTGTCTCCTGACCTTCAAATACGGAGTAGAGAACTATATTCTGAGATGCTTGTTTAGTAAAGGTAGATGTTGATTTTGTTTTCTCTTAGTATTCTAGTTTAGCAGAATATCCTGAGCTCTATTTTGTTGCCTAGGACATATGGGAAAATAATTGCTATGCTCGGCAACTCATAGCAGGTTGAGGTTGGGGTGACTAATGTAAGAAATTTCCGCGTTGCTATCTGAGATATATCTGCAGTGGTTGATCCTGCTTATTTTCTAGCGATTCCAAATAGAAAATTTATACAAGATAGAAAACCTCTTCATTCCGCTGAAATGGCTTCATAGTTCTGCTGATCCTCTATAGTTTAGATGCCCCATACATGATAAATGGGGCAATATTGGGGGAACTGCATTGATTGGCTTAGTTTGTCTTCCAATTTTCACATGGCTTATGCATTTGGGGTGGTCGAAAATGGTGCAAGAATGGAAGTGGATTGGAAGCCTCAGGTTGGCCATAGCTATGCCAAAAAGATGGAATCAGCAGATAGGTCCCAGCTTGATCGAATGTATAGGGCGGAGAATTTTCAGTCAGTTTCTTCTCTTTTGGGATTTGCTCATGGTTTCCCAGTTGAGGAGGTTGGTATGCAATCTTGCTTTGGGTTGTATTGATCGAAATAACTGTGTCTGGGTCCCTATCCTATCAGGTCAGGCTTTTCTTAACCCATTTTTTTGGAGTGGTACCACACGACACACTTTATCAGTCTTGGTAAGGTGGTCACTAAGTATTTGTCTACGAGCTTGCTCTTTTTCTTTATCTCGATGCACTGGTGCTTGCTGTTGCACCAGGAGCTGTTGAACCAGGTGCTAAAGCATGGGTGTTTTGTATCCATTGAGCAAAGACGAGTTGTAATATATTTTTCCCACAAAGAGTAGGATCTAGAAATACTTATATGATTCAAAGCAGTGCCTTTCATTATTATTCTACGCATCATTAGATGGTTGTCAAATGAGAAACAAATTCCAGCAATCAACCAAGATCTTGACTAGAAGATGTATGGTGCTGAATATTGGAATGTGAAATCATGAAGAGATGAAGCACTTAGATGATGCGATTGATTTGAAATCCCGAACTCCTTGAATTGTCTTTCCTTCCTATTGAGTGATCCATTGATAAATGAGGAACAAAGTCATCCTCATTTATGGATATTTATTGTTTATTTTTTTCTTCTCTTTCTATTTTTAATGAAATAAAAGTTCGTCAAATAGTTCCTTATTATTATTATAGGCCTTTGCTAGCTGGGCTGCTATTTAATGTATCTAATGATCACCAAGTTCTTGTATTATCTTGTGCTGTCTGTAGCAATAGGACATTATAATGTCAATTCAGCTCACTTTATTTTGGATGAGTTGAGCTTTTATGAGTGGGGTGTGTCTGTGACCGTGTGTTGGATAACACCCCTCGGATACTTGCAAATATGTGTATAATATGTGCGAATATGTGTATGATATGATAATATGCCTATATATATATATATATATATAGATATATATAATTTTTTTTTTATTAGTATGTATATATTATTTTTAACAAGTATCTTGTACTTGAGGGTAGGTTTTGGCGCAACGGTAAAGGTGAACCACTGTGATGTGGAGTTTATAAGTTCGAATGAAAAAACACCCTCTTTGGATGTGAAGAGCCTTGTGTACTGGGCTAGTCCGTTTAAATATAATGTACTTCTCAGAATCTTCGACATCTGTAATATTTCTCAAATATTATGTCCCATGTTAGTTAAAAATTCTGTTTTTTCAATTATGGTATCATAGTATTATTATTGTTAAGAAAAAATTAGAATTTCTTTAAAAAAAAATAGCCATTATATATAACTCTCAACTCTCAGCTTGTTTGGTCATAATCTTTTTTATAAGAAAAAGTTAATAACAATATACATAACATAACAAACAATTATTGCTTTATATTTATACATAGAAATATTTAGTAGTTGTTGAACTTATACAATATGGGTTTTTAAAGGATAACAATATGGGTTTTTTTTTTAAATTTTATACATTTAATACAATATATATATATATATATCGCTGTGTCGTTTCCATATTGTTATCCTATTTTTTAAGAATCTATTGTATTCTTGTATTTGTATATGTCTTTTCCAAACGTTACCAGCATTCCATGTTGGTTTACATTTCCGTGTCCCCAATTCTTTGCAAATTGCAAGTCATTTTACAAGAAGATGACATGTCTTTCTATTGGATTCTAACATTAAACAGAAGAGTAGTGATACTTACACCGAATACTTAAATTGTTAAAAAGAATCAAATGATGATTAACTTAAACTTTTAGATATATACTATTGAGCAAGTCTGTTTTTAAGATTGGATTTAAGGTGGTTGTTGAAATCAAATTTATGACTGAATGATTAAACTCAGTTTGTTAACTTTAAAATATTTGATACATGTGTTAATTTCTTAACAGTCCTCTTTAGTATTTGATACATGTGTTAATTTCTTAACAGTCCTCTTTTTGTGTGTGTGTGTGTGGTGTGTGTGGAAAAACTGGTGTTCTAGTGTGGATTAGAGTTGGAAATGAGCGTCTTCATGTGCATTTCTTTTATTCAATCTGGTTGGGTTGTCTCACCACCTACAATTAATGCATATAATACCTTTGATGTCTTTATGGAGTTGTATTTTCTATTGATGTACATTGGCAGGTAAGCAAATATGTCTAACTAAATACATGAACTAGAACCATTTATTGTTCTTGATGTGGAAACACAATCTAGTTGTTTTGAGTGGTTAAAGGTGTATGCATTATTGTCCAGCTCACAACCCTTTGATATTTGTCTACTTGTCGGTTTGATATTTACCAAAAAGTAGAATTATGAATTACATACGATATATATATATATATGAGATTATTATTGACAGTTTGGTATGCGTACATTCATTCTATCTGCAATTTTTTAATTTCATATTCACAATCAATCATGTTCCTGTTTGCTCATGAATAATTGTTGTGTTTGGTTCAAAGATGGGAAGTGAATCATAACACATGACATATCTGTCACATAAATAAAACATACAAGTATGTTACATAAAGATGCCAATTTACAACTGAAATTGAAAACAAGAACAAAAAACAAGAATAAAAAATAAATTCTAAAAATTAGAAAACAAGTTAAAAAAATAATAATAATTTTAGTTATTGTGTAATAACACATATAACATGTTCTTAGTAAATAAATTGTCATTTATAATTTCCCATCAAAGTTAAGTATTTACCCCTTAGAAAATGGGCCCACTTATTTTATTTTATTTTTTAAAAAAATTTGGTTAGATCGGAAGCTTGAAATACTAGCAACAAAATAATCTTATAGCTCAACCTACGTTTTAAGTTTTGGATCTTATATATTATTTCAAACTTTGGATGCCCAAGATTTTTGTTTTTGAGCTGAGATCTCAAGTTTTGGAGTTTTTGATGCAAGATTCTGTTTTTGGGAGAAAGAAATGAGGCTTCTTGGAGTTGCTTTTTTTCAATTAAAAAAAAAAAGATGTAAAAAATGAACTGACATGATTGAGGGTCTGTTTAGGGGGCAAAAATCCTCTCCATGACACTTCTCGCTGGAGGTTGTCCATGGAAGATCTAACGGCTGTGATGAAGCCATCTCACCCACATTTGCCTTGTCGTTGTTTAGTAAGTTATTGAACTCAATTTTGTTTTATTACGTACAAATACTGAATACAAAAATTATATATAAAAATATTTTATTCAGTTATACGTGGGATTCAATTCAGTAAAAACCCAATTAACTTTTACTTCTTTTGCTCTATTAGTCTTCTTCCTACTTCTGTTCTCTTCTTCTTCTTTCCTTCTCCTCTTATTTTTCACCAACACCAAATATCTTCATCGTCCCGTGGGTAATGGAATTGACTAGGTAAAATAATAGAATTGATTTCAATTGATGTTATGTTTCCTTCTATTCCCATAAATATATATATATATATATATATATACACACACTTTAAAGTGGAATTGAATTTCAATTGACTTGAGCAAGAGATAAGATTATTATTTGAGAAAGAGAAGTAATGATGTACACTCACCATGAGAAATAATTATGGCTAGGTAATTAATGGATAATGATCTTAAATTTAAAGATGGGTGATCAAAATTTGAGAGGAAATACGAAACAAAAACTTATTTCTTGAAAAATAGGTCTAAATAGCATATTATTATTTTTTACTTTTTGCTACTTATTTAAAAGTAGTCATTACCAAAGGAAATTTTGTGTATATGCATAATATATCTCAATCTTTTGACAAATACAAATTTTGTGTAATTACATTTCTAAAAAAATAAATTTTGTGCTATCATTTTATCTACAAAACAGTAGAGGCCTCGAAACATTCACTCACCAAAATTTTGCCTCAATTAGTTCGTATCAACAAACCAATCCAAAAAAAACAACACAAACGAACGAAAATTTCAAATCCACAACCCCCCCCCCCCGGTATCTCCCTCTAATATCAGAATCAAACTACCAACCAAAAAAAAAATTCAATCAAATAATAACATTCACAATCAAAGCCGATCACAATCAAACGTTGTCACTATTTTCGTCATCATCATGGTCCTTGACCTCATCAAGGAAGGGGACGTTGAGGAGATCCGAAGCGGAGGGCCTCACCCTCGGCTGAGCAAGGCACTTCTTGATGAAAGCCTTCACCTCTGGGTCCTTGACCCTGTTCATGGCTTGAGGCCTCACACCAGAAGTCACCTTTTTATATATCTTGGCAACGCTGTCACACTCGCTATAGGTAATTCCAGTGTCACAATCTCAAGCAAGCACATTCCGAACAAATGTATATCAATGTTTTGCTTGTTTGAAGAGGTTGTCGAAAAATTAGGAAGCTTGATTAGATTCTTCTATGACTGGATTCTTGATCAGCAAGACTTGAATTTAAGAGGAAGAGAGACCTGAATTTCAGAGGGAAATAATGTAATAAAACTTGAGGATATAGAATAAAATTTTGGGGGGAAATCAGTTTTCAGTTTTGGGGGAATTTGAATTTCATTTTATATACAGAAGTGATTGGTATAAAATTTTTGTACAAATACATAGCTATATATGTATATACAACTTCCAAGGTAAATATCGTTTTTACTAAAAACTTCATGTCACCATTTTTCCCCTCCAAGGACAGCCTCTAGTTAGAGGTGCCTTGGAAAGGATTTTCTTCCTATTTGGGACTGTTAGCATACTTTTTAAATATTTGGTCATATAAAATATAATTTTTTCAATTAAAGTACTTATTAATTTATTTGACAATTGTAAAATATTTTTATTCTGATAGTATAATAATGAACGGAACCGACATACCACCGGGATGGTGCACCTTGGTTTTCCCAGGAAAGAGGGTATGTTCTTTTCATTCCAATGATACTTTCATCACTTAAAATTTTGTTTTCATATATATATATATAATATATGTTCACAAAGATAATGTTCATCACCAAATTGTTTTCATGATTGACAGTACAAAAACGTTAATTAATGACAACAAATCTCTATTTAGTGCTAATCAAATCACATGGGCCCTATAAATAAAAACAAAGTTCATTGAATTAGGATGTTACCGACTTTGAGCTACTAGAATTGAAATTCAATGATAGAAAATGACACCCACCTTATCAAACCAAATGAAAATTTAGTAGGCACTAACTTGTGGTGCCATAAGCTCAATTATGTGGTGTAAAAAGTTCATTTGTTTATAATGGATTTTTGTGACGAGTTTCATGAAATGCATTACTCCTATGTATAGAAAGGACATTTGGTTTGGAAAATAAAACCTAACCGATAGAGCACAATATCTGGCATAATTCGTATCATTTGAATCAATCCTTTCAATGAATAGAAACCCGTCACCAACTTTAATATGAAGTTAAAGAAAATAATACCTCTTTTTTCTTTGTATACTAAAGAGAACGCAATTACATCTTGTAATAATATACCTCTTGTAAAATGATACCTTTTATTTAGAAACGGAATAGAGAGAGTATAAAGAAAGAGGATTAGGCGAAAGATTTTCTTGTACCGGGGTAATATTACAAATACGAACAATATAATATTGCTTCATGGCCAAGGTATCACATGTCCTATGATGCACTCGGGAGGGATGGGCGAGTACAATTATTATTTGTGTCAAGGTTATTTGTATCAAGAAACCTTGAACATGAACAAGAAACCTTGAACACGCACACGATACAGACACACCAATACAATGACACAATTACACAAAACATAAAAAGAGGACTACATATTTGAGTTATTTTGACACAAAACGCAGTACAATTAGACATATTTAGCTAAATAAATAAATTATTTCTGCCATGAAATATACAATGACATAAATTCTCCCCGTGTTATGATATTGGTTATATAAAATTATTTGTCTTCAAATTTATATTGGTTTGGATATCACATTTAGGTTCTTCTCATGTTTTAGAAGGCTAATATTTATTTGAAATACTTAAGAGCATATCAAATATTTGTCCCCAAATCCGTATCACCACGCTTATCCTCGCAAAAGGATAATATTGTCATTCGCAAGTCATTTTTGCTAGAAAAAGTGTGCAAGCAACCTCCATTGAACCAAAACACCTTTAATTTGAAATTGAAATGCAAAGTATGCAACAAAATAAAAGACATATTTAATTAATCAATAATGAAAGGATATATTCTAATTTCAGAAAACAAGTAACAAAGGTAACAAAGCATTCCCCTGAAGGAGCCTACGCCAACAATATTCTCCAACATCACAGAGCTCAAACTCTGTTGCGGTTAACAAATCAACCCCATCATCATCATCACAGCTATGTATGTTTTTGATTCACGATCTGTTGTTGATCTTGCGAGTCAGGAGCATCTCCCGCAACTCGGCAACGTCGACCTCGTTCGCCTTATTCTCCGGCCTGTAGTACCCCGTCACCGGATCCGGAATCCATGACTGTGACTTTGCCGGCTCTTCTCCTTTCTTCATCATCATTTGGCTCCTTCCTATCCCTCCTCTCACACTACTACCGGAAGACTCCACGCCTTGGGATGCAGAAGCTGCTGCGTATCCACGCCTGTTCATTTACACACACAAACACACACATAAATCAGATTTATATTTCACTTTTCCCTCCCTTTTTCTTTCCAACCAAACAAAAGAAGAAATCGATAATTCAAACACATATCCAAAATTTGTAATCAAACAAAATCAAAAACGAAATTACTGAAGAAATGCGAAATTACCTGGTTGCAACGACAGAGAGTCTATCAACGACGAAGGCAGAGAGAAGCTTAGCGTTCGAGAAAGAGCGAGCCATTTTTTTTTTGAATTAGTCGAACAGAGAGAGAATTGAACGCTACTGCGAAAAGTGTTCTTCGATTTCTCTCCGGAGAAACCTTTCACAGCAGCAAAAGAACAGCTCTCTTCGTATCGACCTCTGCCTCTCTCTCTCTCTCTCCTCGAAGGCTTTCTAGGGTTGCGAATGTGGGTTTCAGCGAGAGGCGATACAAGGGTTTATATAGAAGAGAGGGGAAAGAGATACGCGTGAGGTAGAGAGAGAAAGAGAAGACCGACCTTCCTACTCCACTAGGGTTTAGTGGGGGCCGCGTCAAATTGGGAGACCTCTCTCTCGTTGCCTGACACCTGCGCAATTTGACCAAACAATTAGACCTTTCTCGTTTTGGTTTCTAGATTGAAACTTAAATGACCTAAATACCCTAATAATGTCGACTAATTACTCGAGCAAGAACCTTCTTTTTGCTCTAATTGATGGTAATGCGAATCGGACGGTTGTTACGTGGTGTGATTGATTTTACGAAACTCGGGTTTCAGTCAAATCAACGTCAACCAGGTGAGGAAGTTTTGACGAGGTGTGAGGAATTTCAGCCGTCTGTTGTGGCGCGGCGTGATGACGTAGTGGCCGTCCACGTGTCATTAAATGGGAGATCTTTGAAACGGGGGAGCTTCTTTCGAGGTTCTCGCATTTCGACCACGCAAGTGGTGTGTGAAAAGGTCCCGCTAAAGTCCAGCTAAATACAGCTAATGCTCTAAAGCGGTGTATCATCATCATCAACTACGCTCGTGCTTTAAACATGTGAAAGATGGTGCCAAAAAGAGGAATCCATATCTTTGCACTGCTATTTTAGGTATATGGATATATTTTAGGTCTTAATACTCACAGATATGCTGGGATACCAAAAATGACTTGAGCCGGACGTAATTCAGGTTGTTAATAACGGGTTAGGTAAGAGTCACCATTTGATGTCAAGTCTTCACTTATCAAGCCTTGGACCGGAAGATCAATTTGAAAGCCTGGTTTGAGATAAAAGGAAATGAGTCCGTAACCAATATGAGCCCAGAAGGTCAGCTCAATGTAAGGAGTTAGTTAGGAAGCTTTTAAAATATTTGTAACAATCTATAAATACAATGAAAAGAGAGGGAAAAGGGGTTGGAAAATATTTGAAGTGTAGAATTATTCTTTCCAAATTGAGAGAGCATTTTTCTTACATCTTTAACGGCGCCGTCCGTGGGAAGCGATGAAGATTGATTCGCGTTCGATCAAGATTGATTCGATCAAAACTGATTCGTGAAGAAGAAGCTTAATCTCTGGAAGTTGGATTCAGATCGGCGAGATCATGGTCTGTCTTGCAGAGTCTTAGTTCTAGTTGATCTTTGGAGATTAGAGTTAGATCTATACAATCGCGATTTGTTTAGCGAAGCTAGATTTAACAAGTTCACGGCAGGAAAGATTCAGATCCCGCCGAAGGAGATCGGAATTCAGCTAGTTCGAGGCCAGATCTAGTGCGTTCGCATTAGCAGAGTTCAGATCCGATCAGGAATTCACAAGTAATGACTCTGCTCCGATCAGGAACGATGATAGGAGGTCAGAGTTCTAATCCACAGGAGAATGACCAGGAGACGAAGCTCGATGAGTTGACGAGCATGATTGAAGCTCTGAGAAGAGAAAATGCAGAATTACGAGCTGGAATGGAGCGTCGGGAAGCTTTGGCGATTCCACAACCACCTCCAGTAGGAAAGAGAGTTATGCAACCCGATGTTGCTCACCAAGGCAAGCAGGAAGGAAACAATCATATGGATCTTCATCGCGAATAAATCAAGCCAGGCGATTTACCGTTAAATGCTCGTCACGTGGAGGATCGAGAATGATCTATTCATTTGGATCCGCATCGTGAGTGGATCAGGCGAGAAAAAGCCATGGCATTCGCTTCATATCAAGAAAGGCTAAGGTAAGAGGAAGCCATGGAGTTTAGTCACCATAAGGTTACGTTACCGTGGCAGAGGGAGTTCACGAAAGAAAGATCGTTCTATCCGCCTTACCGGCCTTCAATGACAACGTACGATTACAGAAGTTAGGATAGGAGATCTGTAGATTAGAGGATTCTCCCAAGGTTTCCGAAGGAGAATGAGGCCCTCCGTTCGGCAGCACGAACAGTCGATTCACCGTTTACAGACGAGATCCTAAATGCTCCAAATCCAAGAAACTTTTCTATACCAGTTTTCATTCTGTTCGATGGAACGACTGATCTGATCGATCACGTTTACCATATCCAATTGAAAATGGCTCTGAACATGGAGAATGATCCTTTGATATGCAAGTGTTTTCCTACAAGCCTGACCGGACCAGCGCTCAATTGGTTCAAAAACCTAGTGAGAGGCTCAGTGGATAGCTTCCGGAATTTGTGTGACAGATTCATAAGCCAATATTACGGGAACAAGCGTCCGGCCAAAGATATTTCAAGTCTGTTTACGATGAAGCAGCATGAGGATGAACGTCTCCAAGCTTTTCTCACAAGATTCAACCTCGTCAAGAGCATGATAATGGAATGCCATCCATCCACGGCAATTCAAGCGTTCAAACTAGCAATGAACCGAGGGACACCGTTCCACACAAGTCTAGTGGTGAATACACCGAGAACTATGGACAAGCTAAACAAAAGAGCTGATGGTTTTGTGCACTTGGAAGAAGAAGAAGCTGCCAATGCCAGGAAGACACCCATGAGGGACACCGTTCCACACAAGTCTAGTGGTGAATACACCGAGAACTATGGACAAGCTAAACAAAAGAGCTGATGGTTTTGTGCACTTGGAAGAAGAAGAAGCTGCCAATGCCAGGAAGACACCCATGATTTTGACGAAGGAGAAGTCCAAGACAAAGATTCGACAAAAATAAGCTCCACCGCAACGTCAGACCACCTGGAAAGCAGAAAATAGGCTAAGAGAGGAGGAGTCGGTCACTCCACTTAAAGTCACTCTGGCAAGGTTGTATCAAGAGAATAAAGATAAGTTCCGTTCTCCCCCACCAATCAGACAACCTTTCGAACAAAGAGACCAGTCTAAACATTGTGCTTTCTATAGTGATTTTGGTCATCAGACTAATGAATACAGAAACTTAAGGAGGCAAGTGGAGATGCTGATAGTAAGGGGAGAGTTCGCAAGACATGTCCAAGGGCCGGCAATGGAGTAGAACCGACCGGCCGAGTAAGTGAAAGAAATCAGAAGCCAAATTACCACAACACCCAGCCTATTCGGATTATAAATACAATTCATGGCCGACCTGAACAGACAGAAGAGTTAGAAGAGCTGCTCCAAACGCGTCTCCGTCAAGCACAAATGAAGAGAAGAATAAGCAGTGTAAATGATCTGCACCAACAGAACGCATCAGCACGGATAAAGTTTGATAGAACAGACCTATTGCAAGTTCAGATCCCTCATGAAGACCCACTGGTCGTCAACTTAATGGTGGCAGAGTGCTTAGTACGAAGAGTTCTAATTGATCCAAGGAGCAGTGCGGATGTCATGCCAAGAATAACGTTCGACCGGCTCGAGATCAAACCGGAAAAGCTCAAACCCACTGGAAATCCCTTGTTGGGATTTGATGGGAAGCGAGTGAAATGAATCAGTATGGTAGAATTGCTGGTTCAAGCTGCTGAGAGAGAGTTGAATAAAAGCTTTGTGGTAGTCGAAATCCATCCGTCTTACAATCTTTTGATGGGAAGATGGTGGATTTATGGGGTCCAGGGTGTCTCGAATGTGGTTATAGTACAAAAGAAGAATGGAAAATGGAGAGTTTGCATTGATTTTACCAACCTGAACAAAGCATGTCCAAAGGATAGTTTTCTGTTACTAAAGATTAATCAAATGGTGGATACCAAAACTGGATATGAACGGCTAACCTTTTTAGATGTTTCCTCAGGCTACAATTAAATCCCTATGGATCCGAACGATGAGGAAAAGACTTCTTTTGTTACTGAACGAGGGATCTATTGCTATAAGGTCATGCCGTTCGGATTGAAGAATATTGGGGCCACTTACCAAAGGCTGGTCAGCAAGATTTTCAAAAGTCAAATGGGTTAGACCGTAGAATCTTATATTGATGACATGGTGGTAAAGAGTAGAAAGAAGGACCATCATTTACAACACTTGCAAGATGTGTTCGGGGTACTGAGAAGGTACGGTATGAAGCTGAACCCAACCAAATGCTCGTTCGGTATAGGCTCTGGGAAGTTCTTAGGGCACATGGTTAATAACAGATAGATTGAAGTCAGCCCAGCTCAAGCGGAAGCTTTGCTAAAAAATACAGAGCCAAATACAGTTAAAGAGGTGCAAGCTCTCACCGGACGAATAGCGACACTGAGTCGATTCATTTCTAGGTTGTCAGACAACTGTAAGTTATTCTTTGATATAATAAGAAGCCACAGAAGGCAATCTTGGGGGGATGAACAAAGGCAGGCATTAACCAGGTTGAAAAAGTATATACGGAACCCTCTAGTCTTAACTGCCCCCAAAACCAGGTGAAAAGCTTTTCATGTACCTTGGAGTGTCCAGCATTGCAACAAGTGCCGTTCTGGTACGGTGTGAAAAAGGTAAGCAGTTTCCAATGTTTTATGTTAACAAAACAATGACCGAGCTAGAAAAAATGTATTCGAAGGCCGAACGAGTGATCCTGTCATTGGTGAATGCAAAGAGGAAACTCAGACACTATTTCGAATCCCATCCTATCATTGTTCTAACCACTTTTCCTATAAGGGTGATCCTACATAAGCTAGATCTGTTGGGAAGAATGACAAAGTGGGGCATAAAGTTCCGCTCATTTAACATAACGTATGAACCCAGAACGGCCATTAAAGGACAAGCGGCTGGTGATTTCCTGCTAGAGTGTGACATAGGAGACCCACAGGAAAATCCTGGAGATTCTTCATGGAAACTTTTCGTTGATGGCTCTTTGAATCAAATGGAGGCAAGAATTGGGATCAAACTGCAGACGCCAGAAGGCACTACGCTAAGTTAAGCGACCAGACTTGAGTTCAGAGCAACCAACAATGAGGCAAAATATAAAGCATTGCTGGCTAGGCTGAGGCTGGCCAAAGAACTAAAGGTCAAAATTCTAGTTATTTTTAGCGATTTACAGTTGATCATTCGGTAGGTGACTGGAGAATACGGAACCAAGGATGAAACTATGTAGGCATATCGTTCTGCCGCTATGCGTGAGGCAAATAACTTTGATCAAATCGAGTTCATCCAATTGCCAAGAGAATATAATGAGGATGCCGATCGATTGGCCTATAGTGCATCAAGTTCTGGAAAAATGCTGGCAAGGGTGATTCCAGTTGATGTGTTGTATCAGCCATCTATCTTCGAAAAACCATCTAACTCAGATCCTCAGCAAGTAAATGTCATACTATATGAGCCGAGTTGGATCGATCCAATCATGACTTTCATACGAGATGGTGTGTTGCCCGAACAAAGAGATAAGGCAAGGAAGATCAGATTGAATGCTGCAAAGTATGCCATTGTACATAACCAGTTATATAGAAGGTCTTTCTTGGGTCAAAAGTTGTTAGCCATCTAACTCAAAAGATTGTTATGGAATTAATCAAAAGTTGGTAGTGGTTAGCCATCTTCAGGAAAATGGCCAACCTGAAATCATGAACAGAACAATCTTTGCTTGCATTAAGAAAAAGCTTGAAGATGAAAAAGGTAAATGGTTGGACAAGCTTCCGAACGTTTTGTGGGCTAATAGAATAACCCTAAGGTGACCAACTTGAGAAAGCCCATTTGCTATGGCGTACAGCACCGAAGCGGTAATACTGGTTGAGCACTTAGTTTCAACTGTTCTGTAACGACCCGGTCATTTGCCTTCCTTTCCTTTTTCCTGAAATTTTACGAATGAATTTTTTTCGTTTAATTTTCTTTTTTGAGTTCTGTTTCGTGTTGCTTAGTGTCATCTCGAGTGCTCGAAATTGGTTCATGAGACTCTTTTCCGTGGATTGATAACTTCCTTTAAGGACCGAGTCATTTTCACATTTTTCGTTTTTCGACACTATGCGCTATTTCGTCCTTTTCCCTATTCTATCTTATCACCGTTTGTCAGTTTTTGGCACAACCTCACTTCTCATGCTCGGAGTTGGTTTTTGACTTCACGTGCCTTCTTCTTGAGTGGTTTCCACGAAATACGTATCTTTACTTTTGCAAGAAAGTACTCTGGTTGCTCCCGGTGTCCATAGGGGCATGAATGCAAAGTTCTTTGAAATTATTTTCTTTTCTTGGGGTGTTTTTCGTAAATATCTTTTGAAGATATTTTATTTCAGGGGTTTTTAAGAAAATATTTTTGGAAGATATTTTCATTCTGGGCTATAAGTGCAGTTTTCACTTTTTGGAGGGGCCATTGTGCAATTAATGAAAGTTATTGCAAAATGTCTTGTTTTGAGCCTGGATTCTCGTACAGAATTCATTTTCACATTTTGTCGAGTTGTGTACTCTTGGAATTTCCTCCTGGTCGATGTTTTCCAGTTTCAGGGTTTCTGGCCCCAGTTTTTGCCAAACTTGTTTTGGGCATAACTTTCTACTTAGGACTTGGTTTTTAACGCCGTCTCTTCTGTCATTCATATTTTATCATTTTGAATCTTTTTTGTTCACAAAGTTTTACCATTTGAGCGCTTCTGCTCAAATTTCACTTTTTCAGACCCGGCGGGGCCCATTCGAGGCACTTTTTGAGATTTCTATAAAAGGGGGGTGAGATATTTCATTTTTCATCTTCTACCCTCTTCATGCACGACCTAGAGCTCCCATGGCAGCCCAAGGGGTGCTGCCATCTTCTCTCTCCTCTTTTGGTTCACTTTTCCTTGATAGAAAGTCTTCGGCCTTAACGTTTGTTGTTCCCCTCGCCGTGCTCTATCTTTCCCCTTTTTAGAATTCAGTTTTGACCATTTCTTGAGTTTGGTTTTGAGGTCAAGTTATGATTTCGATGGGGCTTTCATGGGGGTTATGTTCACGGCGTTGTCCCCGACAAAACCTAGTAGTTTTGTCGGATTCAGAACCGTTCCATTTTGATGGCTTTTGAGATTTTCATCTCAAATTGAGGTAGGGAATGTTAGGTTTAAATTCTTGTTATATAGCATGCTTGTGATACTTATATTACTTGTTTGCATGATTAAATATGAAATCTAGAGATTTTATTATTTATTTTTCTTGTACGGGATCTAATTTTTCCGGTTGCTCGTGACTTGGTTTAAACATGTAGAATGATATTATATTACCCCATGATATGCTCATTGTCGTGTATTAAAATTAGAGCATTTAAATAAGTACTAAAACTTTTATTTAATATTTATCTTAGGTGAAAGATTAATTCATATGGCCTTAACTAGCTTGAAATCAATATGTGTTAGCATATTAAATTAGGCCTTAGCATGCTCTCCAACATAGTTGAATTTGAAAGTAATTGGAGGTGTTTTGAAAATTAGTAATTATTAATTAATTTAATTAATTAATTTGCCCCGAGTGCACTATTCACTCTATTTGAATTCCGATTTGATATTCTTGATTTACATACCATATAGCTTTACATATATTTGATTTAGAATATTCGGTTAGGTTTTGAAACCTTTTATTTAATTAAAGTCCATATTTAAGATTTAATCCTCATGGTGACATACAACTTGGAATTGTATTGTGGCATGTTAGAAAATTAAGTTTTGGTATGGTTGTTCACATGTATTAAATTGGGATTTATTGCATGAGAATTGCAACTTTTGTTTTATGTTTAACTTTAGTGAAAGTTTAATTCGCATGGTCGTAAATTGAATGAAATAAACTTGTAATGTGATATTACATTAGTCCTTGGCATGTTTTCCAACATAGGTTAATTTGACAGTATTTGGTTAAGTTTGAAAATCTAGAGATTTTAATTAAAAGAATTAATTAAAATCTATTTTGTGGTCCCATTAGCTTAATTAAGGTTTTAACTTGATATTTGTATTGGCCATGACTTGTTTACTAGTATATATTAATTTGGGACTATTTGAAGTTGTTTTAGAACCTTGGGATTTAAATTAGCATGATTTAATTAAAATTCTACCTTATTGTTATATTTAAACTTATGAGCTTATGTTTTCAATATTGAATATATTGTTATCTTGCGTAATGATTTACACACTTCATATTTAACATCATTCATGCATAGCGTGTAACGAATCGCACACTGAAGATTCGACATTTATCATATCATATTAGTTGTGGACTTAGAGCATGTATTGTATAGGTTTCCAAATTTAGTTGTGCTTGGTAGATAGTTGATTATCTTGCATATTCCTGTTGATATATGCGTTGTTGCACAACTTGTTGATTTTGGAAACTTGGGGATGTCATTGTTTGGCTATGGCTAGGACGTGGTTCTAGTATGGGGAATAGTCCCTCTATGCAGTCTAGTGCGCACATAGGGAGGTTACCCATGTGCTAGTAACCCTAAAGTAACTATGTTGTCGGTCTGATCCGGCGTGACGTCCGAGTATCCACTTTGTTGACTTCACATTTCATTTTCAAGTTGATAACTAGATGATGTTGTAACTTGTTGTTCCTTATTTGTCTTTCCATTTTAAGTTACATGATGTTAACTTTGCGAAATTGTGCTTTATGTATTGTATTGGAAGTTCCAATGTTGGTTAAATTACATCGATATTGAAAATTGTGTTTTGACATTCTAACATAGCTTAGGAATGATTATATTGATTCATTTAGAACTTAGATGTTAGGTGGCATGACCCACTACTGTTATTTTGTGCTTCAGATTTTAAGTTGATGGTTTTGAGAACTTATACCTTGTTGCATTGTATAACATGCTCTTTTGTTGTTGAATTGCATGGATAATGTAATTCTTGTTAACTTGTATTCAAATATACTTTTGTCATGTTGAATGGATTCCTCTAGACTTTGTTCAATTACATTGATAATGTGATCCGTGGTAACTATAAACTCGTTATATTAATCGGATTACTCCAACTTTGATTTGTTTCATTCATGTATTTATATCATGATTCTTGTTGCTTTGTATAACATGTTTCTATGTTGTTGAAATGCATGAATGATGTGATTTATGCTAGAAACACTCTAAGGTAGCTTAGGATGCCCCCTGAGTCTCATTTCGATATAGACGTTAGGTGGCATGAATCCCTTTAACATGTTTCACCTTAAGGTGATAAATTTGTAAAACGCTAGGTCAATGAATGCTCATCTCCTACGAGTAGCTTTATGTTGCTCACCCCTACGATACTGGGGCATATTTCAGGTACGAAGACTTGGTTCGTGATGCCTAGCATTCCTTGGATGTCGTATAGCTTTCAAGTTTCCATTTCATGCAAATGTTAGCAGGAAATGTCATTTTGTAGACTTATATGTAAAATTTGTATTCTTTGTATGTAATGTGTACATAAGTGCACTCCTTTCAATGTACTTGACATGTATGAGATGAGGCCGGAGGCAAATGACATGTGTATTGTATTCTATACAACTTTTTAACTTCATGAAATATTATGAAAACCTTGAAAAATTGCAAGTCATTGCTTCACCATGGTTGTATCGGGTGTGGGAATTCCATTTTTATTCTTTCCTAAGGTCTTATTAATTTTGTATGAAGTGTGGCCAAGGGCTAAATGGTCATTTGACTCCATTTTACATTTTTGGATTCCATGTTTTCCATTCCAAGTCCATTTTTGCCTTTTTGCCCGTTGGGGGGTCGGATTTTGCATCGGCTATATTTTTAAGCCATGGACCATTGTAGCGCGTCTAAATAGGTAAGTTACGTTTGCGTGCATAGTCGTTTCCGGGCAAAACCTCATCATTTGTGTTTTGAGCCTCCTACGATTTCATTTTGCGTTTTTGTTGCATATTTTGATCTAGGGGTATTCTAGACTTTTCAATTCAGTTTTATTTCCTTCTTTCAACATAGTTGAATAGAAAACATGATTTTAGAGGTGGTTTCTTTTTCGTGTTTTTCCAGAAAATGTCGGCATCGGAAATCGCTTACGAAGTTCAGCTTTCAGTTTTCTATTTAGCAGCTTTTTTGACCCTCTGGACCAGATTTCTTGGGAGGGCATTTTGGGCATTTTATATTGAGTTTTTTTTTGAATTCTCACATGAGTCACATAGAAAACTCAATTTTGAGGGGGGTTTTTTCTTTGTGTTTTTCTAGAAAAATTCATCTACTAGCCCGTTTTTACTCTCTGTTCTAGCTGTTTTTGGAAAAAAAATGCTTGTAGCAGCTTTTTGGGTCCATCTTGACCTAGGCTATTCAAGGGGCATTTTAGGGACTTTACATCATATTTTTTTTGGATTCTTCTGCATAGACAGGTAGAAAACGTGATTTTAAGGGGGGTTTCTTCTTCTTGTTTTTCCAGAAAAACTCGTTTAAGGGTCCGTTTTTAGCCTCGAATCAGGAAAAAAAAAAAATAATTGGAGCTTTCTGTCAAAACACTATTCCTGCCCAGATTTTTGAACCCGGAAAGTTGATATTTTTTTGAAATTTTGAGGTTTCATATCTTCTTCGTCCCGACTCCAAATCAAGTGATTTTTGAG